AATAATATAAAATCTCTGGTAACGCTATATTGGGATGAGACAGACCATTCACTCCATGCTTATAAATTAGATAATGTTCACTACTATTGTTATTCATTTCCACTTCAAACCTTCCACCCTTTGCACTTGTTTGTCATTAACATCCTTAATTGGAATTAGATCTTAAGGCAACACTTTTCCACAACTCATTCTAGAACATCTTTGATGGATAATTTTAAAAGACTTGCTTTGCTCATGAATATTCTGGAGTTTAATATTTATAGTTGTAGTTGAATGCAACTCAAGTTGATATATCCGAATCTTAAAAAAAATAAAAAAATAAAAATAAATTGAGCATTCCTCTTAAGTTAGCTTTGAATCAAATTCTTTAACTGGGATGATGGTTGCATTGTTTTATTCAAGCAACCATGACTGTATTACCAATAGTACAAACATTTTGTAAGTGTATTTTTTAGTTTTAGTAATAAATTACATATTAATAGTTGGATCCAATTAAGATTAATATATGATAATATGATGACATGATGATAATGATACATGATAACATTATGATACAAGATGCATGATGATGATATGACTTAATATGATGATATTCCATATTAAAATGATGTACCTGTACTAAATGTCATGATGTATTATGATGAAGAGCTTTCTAAGACACAACCCAAATGATGTTAATGATGATGAACATATGAAGACCCATGTATGCATGTTACCTAGAGTAATATGTGAATGATATATAGGGTTGTGTCATAAGAATGACTTAAGATGAAAACTATAGGGACATCATGCATATTGCATGTTCATATACATTGGGTTACTTTCCCATTTATAATGATTAGTACGGACATGTACACTATGATGTTGATGATGATGATCATGCTTTGCATGATATTCGAGGGTTTGCTGACCTCCAAATGTCCGAATACGAACAACTAGCTCAACTATGATGGGTCCAGGGGGTGCGAACCGCCAGAGACTCACGCTCTCACGTGTGAGTCGTATACAGGGAAGTACTACAAATTCAATAGTGGGTTGGACTGAAGGCCACCAAATGATTGCTTTAGTGATAGGTTAATAATCATGAGTTGCATATGTTTGTATTCCTAACCCCAATAGTGGGTCACTTAGTGAGTATTTCATAAAATACTCAAAGCATGTGCTACTTCTATTTGTTAGGTAAAGGCAAGTCACCCCTGCACAACTGATGACGACATTGCAAGTAAAGACAATAGCACATGTATATGATAGTTGTATTTAAATTCTTAGACCATAGGTTAGTACAGGCTATTTTTCAATTTTAATATTTATTTTTCTTTATTTACTATTTGGTTAGGTTGCTTTAAAGAATTTTTGAAACATGCAAGTCCATGACAATGTTTTACGATGGTGTTTTCAATGATTATTTCTACATGAGAGAGTATATTATGCTGATGGTAGTAAATTTAGGTTAGAAAAAATCTAGGGATTATTACGGTCGGTATTAGATCTTTAGATTTTAGATTCTGTAGACTAGAGTATAAGACAGGCTTAGTAAGTTCCATGGCCCCACTATTAATGTTTGTCAGGTATGTCCTGCAGAAGATAATAAAAATAAATGTCATTGATTGTATATGCTATGATTGCCTACTATTATTAAATGTACTTCATGATTAAGTTTGATAGCCTGGATTATATTATTTGTCAAAGCATGATGTTTGACCTAATTATATGTTTGTGAAGATATTGTGCTTACCAAATCGTATACTAATTATGATATGGTAATATGATGTGAATTACGATAGTGAATAGTAGAATAAAGGAAAATTATAGGTTGGTTTTAGAAACATGTCGCCTAGATGACATGGAGGAAGAAGAGGGACCCCCTATTAGAGGAAGGGGGAGAGGTGAAGAGAGCCCACCTCGCGAGGGCTTAGTAGTTCGTACAGATGCAGCAGCATGAGAGGATAGAATAGATCCCACCACAAACCTGATGTGGGAATCGTTCCAGGCGGTTATGTATAAAATGGTAGCCAGCTAGCAGGCCAAAAGCTCGCAATCTACCAGAGGAGCGAGATATTTATGGGATATCAAGCGATATGTTTCACGCACCTTCAATGAAACTGTGGGGGACCCAACAGAAGCTCAGCTGTATATTTCGACAATGGAGATGATATTTTTGTTAATGGATTGTCCAGACGATCAGAAGTTGTCATGTGCATCATTCATGCTGAAAAAGGATGTGGAATTATGCTGGCTAAACAACAGAGAAATTTTCATTCTTAATGAAAGTGCTATAGCTTGGTCACAATTCTAGGAGATATTCTTGAATCAGTACTATCCGAAAGTAGCCCGACTCAAGAAACAACAAGAGTTTACCCACTTAGCATAGGGTGGACATTCTGTAGATGATTATGCCCAAAAATTCATGAGACTCAAGAGATTTGTGCCCTTACTAGTGGACACAGAGTTAAAAATGGTTGAGATGTTTGTGATGGATTTGGACTCAAAGATTCGCCACATGGAAAAAGCCATTTACCCTATGACTTATAAGGCCACACATAGAACAAGTAAGGCGAAGCCCAAAGATCATATGAACTGAGGAACTCATATCACCAACCACTAGCGCGTAGACCTCATTATCCTGATAGACATCCCTCTCGACATACTGACAGACACCCTCCTCGACATACGAGCGAACATCCTAAGAACTAAGATGGACCTGGAGGATGATGAGGATCAAAGTGCAATGTATTTGGAAAGCCATATGGGGGCAGATTTATGGTAAGGACTAGAGCATGCTTTCGGTGTGGTTAGGAGGGCCACATTGCTATCAACTGCACAACTAAGAATACTGAAAATCTAGTTGATTCCATAAAGGGCACCTGATGGAACAGACAGACTTGTGCAGACTCGTTCACAAGTGAGGGCATACGTGTTCACCAGCAAGGATATCAGAAGGTCCGACACTGTGGTGATAAGTACACTATCAGTCTTGGGACATTATGCTTTCACTATATTTTATTCCAGCTCTACGCATTCATTTATATTTATCCCATTTGTTAGACAAGCAGGGCTTGAACTAGTCCCTCATTGCATGTATAATCTATTAGTGTCCAAGCCGGGATAAACCTAGTTGCTAAATATGGAGTAAAATATAGGCAAGTAATATTAACAGGGCAAACTTTAAACGTAGACCTGATAGTTGTTAGCATGAAAAACTTCAAAGGTAATACTAGGGATAGATTGGTTAGCTAAAAATTATCCTAGTATAGTCTGTTACAAGAAGAAAGTACTATTCTCACTTATGTCTTGATTTTAAGTTCAAGAGTGCATGTGCTAGAGTTACACTGAAACTAGTCTCAATGATGAAAGCCAAGAAATTGGTCCAACAAGGTAGTTAAGCCATATTGGCATACTTAGTATCATGGATGAAAGAGAAAAAGAAAAGACCTTAGACACGGTGCCCATAGTTAATGAATTTTCGGATTTTCCAAAAAAATTACCAGAAATACCCCCTTCTCGAGCCGTAGATTTTGCCATAGAACTTAAACTAGAAACGAGTCTTATTTCTAAAGCCCCATACCGTATGGCACCAGCAGAGTTAAACAAACTCAAGACGCAACTATATGACTTGCTAGATAAAGATTTCATCCGCCCTAGCATATCTCCTTGGGGTTCTCCATGTTGGATAATGGAAGTCCCACATCGGCTAATTTAGAGCATGATCATGGGTTTATAAACAAACAATACTCTCTCCATTAGTATGAGGCCTTTTGGGGAAGCAAAACAAAACCATGAGACCTTATGTTCAAAGTGGACAATATCATACCATTGTGGAGAGTCGTGTTCGTCTAACACTCCAGTGTTCCATTAGTATGAGTCCTTTTGGGAAAGTACGAAGCAAAGTTTGAATGAATATGTTACAGTCTCCCACGTGATACATTTATAGCTTATATTATTTTAGTTCAAAGTTGTCCTTTTGTTTACTATGTTGTCTCTCCCACGTGGTATGGACCACACCACAGTGTCTCACTGTCCTTCTTTACTTTTCTGTGGTTCAATATGTTTAGTCTCCCACATGATATGATTTTGCCTATTTCCAATTAGTTAGTTTAAGTTTCGTTTTAAAAGCTCGACATTCCTATTAGAGAAGATTTGGAAACGTAGGTGTTTTAGTTCAAGGGAAGAAGAGTTAGATTGGAGTGCATCGAGAACACGACATAGCTTACAATATGGCGGAAGGTAGTAGGACCGGACAGCTTTGTGGTAATGTTGTATCATGGATCAAAACAATGCTAGAGCAACTGCCTGTTGTTAATGTAGGATGTAGTATCTATCAAGTCCCCAAACTGTTACGTGAGATGAATAATACAGCCTTTACCCCCCAAGTCATTTCCATTGGCCCGTTTCACCATCGTAGTCGAGATGATTTGATAGTCAAAGAGCAATATAAGCTTCAAGAACTTGCTAACTTTCTGTTTCGAATGATGAACATGAGCTCGGTGGAATTTCTTGAGGAAACTACTCAAACTTGGGTAAAAGACGCTTGAGATTACTATGCAGAACCTATAAACATGAACGACGAGGATTTTATTAAGATGTTGCTGGTGGATGGTTGTTTTATAGTGGAGTTGCTTATATTACATTATGGCCAATACAGCTGAGATGCATTCATTCGAATTAAACACAAAGTAGATCTTCAATTCTACAAAAGATTTCGTTATATAGATGCTGAGTTGATTAAGTTGGAAAATCAAATTCCTTTCTTTGTTCTTCCACGTCTATACCTTGTAAAACAAAAGGATCCCTCCATCTCCTTTATAATTCTTGCAAAAATATTTTTTCATCGTGGGATTGTAAATAATTACTATCTTCCTGATCCCTTGTTGAAGAAATGCCCAAAGCATTTCATCGATTTCTTAAGCTTCTTCTTTGTCCCCACGATATCTTCTAAGAACAATAGTAAAGAAGAAAAATCAATTATTCCTCCATCGATAACTGAGCTTCAAAAATGGCAAATGTTTTATGAATGTGAGCTTCAAAAATGGGGTTTTTGAAATCCCACCCATACTTAATGATGATTACTTTGAACCCATGATGCGAAATTTGATAGCGTTTGAGCATTTTTATGTTGGAAATGACAACAAGTGTATCCAATATGTGTCATTACTAGATCATTTGATATGTACAGAGAAAGATGTGAGTGTACTTGTGAAAGCCGGAATCGTAATAAACGAAATTGGAGGTAGTAGTATAGAAGTTTCAGAACTATTTAATAATCTCTGTAAATTTGTTACAGTCCCAAATTGTTGCCACTTCAACGATATCAACAAAGCTTTACGAGAACACTGCAGTAGACGATGGAACAAGGCGATAGCTACACTCAAACATAACTATTTCAATACTCCTTGGGCTATTGTCTCCTTCGTTGGTGCAATCTTCCTCCTTATTTTTGCCCTGCTTCAAACTATATTTTCTGGTATATCAGCATTTCTTAAGAAGTGAAATCTATCCAAAAAATATAGGTATGTTTCTTTTAAATTTTCCTCGTTCAATCTTTACCTTGTTAAATGTTAACTTTGTAGTTGCCAATCTTTTTAAATAAATATTATGATACATTTATGTTTGTTATCCTACCTATAGTTATTTAATGGACCATAATCTTATGCTAAAAGTTCAATTACTACGTTTTTCATATTATCTCTATTCTTTGTTTGTTATAAAAAAGCGTTTAAGATTGACACGGGTACATGAAAATTTGTGTTTGTGAGGGAAGGGTGCATAATGATCAAGTTTTGAAGTTTTTGTTTACTCTTCGCTATATTTTTTTCTATATTTGTTTTATACTAAACCATTAAAACTATTTAGATATCAATTCTTTTGAAATTTAAGTAATGAAGTTTTGTTTCCGTTAAAACTATATTAGTTGGATGTTTTCGAAACTTGGATATGTTCTAGAAGACACACCTAAAAACATCCCATCACTTCAATTCAAAATGAAGGTTAACTAACCTCTTATTATAAAAGATATTTTTTACCAAAATTTTAGAAAATATGAGTTTAAATTCACGGCAATGCTTCATATTTCATATTTTAAAGTTAGTTTAAGCTTCCTCGGTAAATAATGAAGTAAGGGCAGTCATTTGGAGCAATATCAAGCAGTGTCAAGCCTTCAACCATGAGAAATCAACATTTAGATTTTGGGTATCTCTTCCTTGAATTTCTTCTAAATTTGAGAGTTGTAATTCACCATTTCCCTTCAAACTTTTTTCTACCCCTTCTAAAAAGTATTGTCCACAAATCCTCCAAAGAAATCAAGAATTTGAAAATGTTCCTAACTTATATGTCCAATATCATCCGTCATTATATATGTTTAAAAGCTTAGAATCGCATTCTCACATTACACATGAATTCATCACGTCTAATCTATCACATTCATACCATCAACAAGCATTTTCATCTAGAATCATGTCCAATTGAAGAAAACTATATTCGGGTATGATTTGAGGTTAAGTTCAAATTTCCTACCTAGGATCCTCTAAACAAAAATTAAGCATTTCATTAAAGACCTAGTAAGGACTAGAGGGAGAAGGACTAGAGGGAGCTGCTAATGAGTTTCTGCATTTTGGTTGACTTCCAATCAAGCCTTTGACTCAAACATCGCCACGATCACACAAATTTGTTCTTCCGAGATTACGTAAGCATGACGTAAGTATAAGGAAGAAGTTTCGTGAAGAAGTCATGTCTTGAAAAGGTCTTAATTAGCCTGACAAATAACACCACTATATGTGAAGAGGGAAAAAATGTGTGTTTGCACAACAGTGAATCAACTTCCTTGGACACGTAATAGAAGCAGGCAAGGTAGGTATGGAAGAGGAGAAAGTCAAAGCCATCAAGGAGTGGAAGTCCCCTCCTCAGTGATAGAAGTGCGCTATTTCCTTGGGTTGGCAAATTACTATCGGTGATTCGTGGAAGGATTCTCAAAGCGCGCAGAGTCCTTGACCAAACTACAAAAGAAGGAAAACAAGTGGAGCTAGACTTCACAGTGTCAAGAAGCCTTTGGCAACCTTAAGAATGCCATGATGGAAGGATGTGACGAAACCTTTCGAAGTCAAGATGGTGCTTCAGACTTCGCCCTAGGGGCGTCCTACTGCAGGAAGGACACCCCATTGCATACAAGAGCCAGAAGCTAAACGATGCAGAAAGAAGGTACGCAGCATTCGAGAAAGAAATGTTGGCAGTGGTCCACTGTTTACGATCTTGGAGATAGTACTTCTTCGGAGCCAAAATTGTAGTGAAGACACACAACAGCTCCATATCTCACTTCTTTAAAAAATCCAAGTTATCGTCGAAGCAAGCGCGTCGGCAAGAATGCATTGCCGAATTTGACTTCCAATTCAAACACAGGCTATGTAAAGCAAACCAAGCTGCAGATGTTCTAAGTTGAAAGAGCGAGTATGCGGCCCTGTGCATGTTAGCTCATCTACAAGCAAGTAAGTTGAGTGGAACGATACAGGAAAGTATCAAGGAACACCTAGCCCAGTCGCTCAGGCCATCATGCAG